CTGTTTACTCAGACATCCAGTGTAAAATATATGTGTGTTTATGCGTATATTTTTCTATGTTCGTTCCTCTGATGGTCGATCCTAGTCATAGTGGAGGGGATTGCATGGTTCAGTGACTCTGAGAACGATGCTGTCAGGAATTCTAAACTCCTGGTAGGACCACCCTTATCAGCAAGGTCAAAGACGAGGACTTAGACTAAGTGCAACCAATCCCAAAGACCCCAGTGGTAGAACAATGGTGGATGACGATGACAACAGATCTCAACGGTTGAACCAGCGGATGAAGAGGGCTACGTATGACGGACATACTACAGAAGGCGCCACTCGTAATTATAACAGAGTCAGCGGCAGTCCGTTGCAGTTTCATAATTGGATTCTGCATGTCTCATTCCATATTTGCCGCATCGACACATTCTTCTACTCTGATTTTTTTCACCGCCAACCAACTCTGGTAATAATTTCAAGCAAAGGCTTCGTTCAATCAGAAATATCAAATTGAATTAAACTGTGACCAACACCAAAATCCTGGAAAGAGCCCAAAGTCAAAAGCATCGAATCGCCGATCATTAAACATCGTCTTCGGTGGTCAGGACATGTAGCAAGAATGAAAGAGTCAAGGTTCCTATATTAAGTCTTATTCAGTGAGCTCACTTCAAGTAAAAGAAAACAAGGTTGCTCTCTTCGAAGATACAAGGATCAACTCAAAACAACACTGAAAGCAACTGAACTTGGGCCTAAATCGTTTGAAAGACATGCACAAAACTGTACCAATTGTTGATGTTCCGTCACCATCGTAACAAAAGAACGTCGAAGCCATCAGAAGGGAAAAGGAATAAGTCAAAAGACAAGAGAGAAAGGCTAGACAGAATCGATCTCGTCCTCCACCAATATTACTATGCAGACAATACCATCGGTTCTTCCATACAAGAATTGGTTTACTTAGTCATCAACGCCATCATCAGAAAGGAAGCAATCAGAAAATAAGAAATTAAATTCTTGGATGCGAAATAAAGCCGACGACGAAAATGTCTCTCTACAATAAACGATCATTTTTACAAAATGTATTTGTTATGTTCTGCCTCAGAGGAAGTTCATGAAATCAAGTGTGTAGGTCACTTCCTGGCATGTTGAAGTCCACCATAAACAAATTGACGCCATCCTCACTTTTTTCTACTCTGATTTTGTTTCACTGCAACCAACTCTTGCAAAGCCAAACGGCGATAGAGAATGGATGACGCGTGTCACTGGAAGCTTCTAGTCCTGAACGTTGGCGGTGAATTTAGTCATCATCGCTTTCATCATAAAAGAAGTGATCAGCAAAATTCTTGGGGATGAGATAAAGCCGAAGAGAACTTGATTTTTCTTTCATTAATAAGGAGTGCCAGAGAAAAGCGATGACAACAAAAAATCGCAATATGACTTCTTGTCATAAGAGGCACTTGTAAAAATTGGCAAGAATAAAATATATGATAAATAATAAGAATTTGTTGATCATGATAGAAAAGATGGGAGAGCTATGAATTTGGGTCATTGCGAAGAAAAAAACAATCAATCATTCTTTACAATTCTTCAGATCCCTGTCAGACTGCACAGCATGAACAGATTTTAAATTCGTGCGAATTATGTAAATAAGCCGATACCAAGGATCTCCATCGTCTTCTTTCCTCGTGACAAGCAAAGGAAAGCCAACATCTATCGATCGCAGCAAGGCCTGTCAAGTTGATAATGAAATAAGTACGATTCAAAAACAAAGCAAGGGTTCATTTATTAAATAATAGTTTTAGACTATTACTTTACGTTGGAATGTCGAACTGAACCCTTTATTTCGCTCACTGGGTTATGTTCTAGTTCCACATACCATGGATATCATCAGTTATTTCCCCCGTCCAAGTTCTCCACTGCCTTAACGGGGTATTGAACTCACGCTCTTTGGGTCCTGTCACTGGATCTAACCAACGCCTTTATCCACTGTACCATGTGTCCTTTTAGTGACATTGTATTTTGGTTCAGACCTTCTGAGTGGTAGATGATGGTAGACAAAATAGGGATGTTGATTTTGATTGGCTGAGCCGAACATTAGAGAGATAGAAAGTGATTTCAGCGAGAGACGTTTTTACACATCATACGCAGTGTCTCGGGGAACTTGCTCCTTAGTGTTGGGGCGATAGAGCGCCCCCAATGGCTAGTTAAAAATGTACACCTCGACGTGTTTAATAAAATAGATAAGTTTAAAAGCCTTTCTGTTGAAGTTGTCATTTCACCTCCGAACAAACCAACTAGCGATCACCCCGGCCGAAAGAAGAAAGAAAAGAGGGAGAATATACATTATGCAACCGACCCCGTCAACCAAGAAACTCCCCACCCCCACCCCCACAACGCTTGGCTATGCAACAATTTGCTTATTTGGCGCAGTGGCCAAGACCTCCCCAGAAGATAGGGAGTATGCAACACATTTATAACAAACAATTCCAGTCGTGCAGTAAAATTATTTAAAGGTAGCGAAGCCATAAATATATCTTATTGAAAATAACAATACATTTTTGCCTTGACTGTAAGCATTAAGCTCTACGCTTATAAGACGACACTAAAAGTTTGTAAGTTGAAAGGGAAGAAGGAAGACGACTCATCTTAATCACGTGATTCCACAAGGGACTTGATTAGCATATCAGTCAGAGCAAGGCTGCTAAAAGTCATAAATTGCGATACAAAGAACAGAAATCCTGGAAATACAAAAAGGAAATTTTTAAAAATACGGAGAGAAAAATATATTAACAATTCAGAAGACGAATCAAAGCAACATGAGCATGACTTAATCTTTATATCAGTTAACAATATTAAGGGATAATTTTTATACTAATATTCACCCAATACAAGCCCCAAGAGCCATCCAAAGTAGACGATTACTGTATGGTATTGTACGAGTGTAAGAAAAAGCAGGAAATAAAGTTTGTGGGGTTAATCAAGAAAGATAGCAGTTAACCTGACTTGAAGAGATCAAGATTTCAGTGATTGGGAAAATATCCTGCTGGGAGTTTGTTTTACGAAATAGCAGTTCTTGGGAAAAGGCTGTCCGAGTGAACTTACTTCTTATTAATTGAATATGACGAGAATGAGGATAATTCACTCTCAACGTTTCGAAGCAATCATTAGAGAACTTAATAGCGGTTCGAAATAGTAAGAGAGATCTTAATAGCCTTTCGAAACAATCGTAAGAGAGATCTTAATAACCTTTGAAAACAACCGTAAGAGAGATCTTAATAACCTTTAAAAACAATCCAAAGAAATATCTTAACTTTTCAAAACAATCGTGAGAGATATCTTAATAATATTTCAAAACAATCCTAAGAGAGATCTTAATAACATTTCGACACAATCGTAAGAGAGATCTTAATAACCTTTGAAAACAACCGTAAGAGAGATCTCAATAACTTTTCAAAACAATTGTAAGAGATATCTTAATAGCCTTTCGAAACAATCGTAAGAGAGATCTTACTAGCATTTCGAAACAATCTAACGAGAGATCTTAATAGCCGTTCAAAACAGTTCTAAGAGAGATCTTAAGAGCGGATCGAAACATCTTAAGAGAGATCCAACCAGCGGTTCAAAACAATCTTAAGAGAGATCTTAATAGCTGTTCAAAACAATCTTAAGGGAGTAGCAAATTTACCCAGTATGAATGCAAGAATAGGCATGATTGGGTAGCAAGGGGATCCGGTAAGAACTGTGCAAGCGACTGCATTTTAACCATGCACACTGTTGCTGTATACCAGAATCTGTCTAAGAAAACGAAAGTTATAATTTTGAGGGGATTTTGAGATCCCAACGGATTATTCAACCCAAACCAAAAGACAGGCGTGTTTTTAAGAAGATAAAATAATGAAAAAGTTTGTCTAAAACATCAAGATAGAGATTAACCATCTTATCCATGGGAAAAATGGATTTGGTAGACCTAAATAAGGAAAAGAGGAGTTGCCATACGAAGATAGTGTTGCGTCAGCGGACCACAATGTCTAGTAGAAAAATTAGAATCGACAACAGCACAGTATTTACTTCTGAAAAATTTGAAACTTTTCTAATAAATCTAATGACTACATTATTTATATTGTTCGGTCTGTTGTCCTTATCTTTATTGTCATATTCACGCTTTCGGCCGTTGTAGGCTTTGGCCTTCTTCAGGAAATTGGGATTTCGAACTGAACCCTTTATTTCATCCACCTGGGTAGATTGATCTACTTCCACATGCCATGCCTCTTCCGGATTTCTCAGTTATCTCCCTTTAACTCAACTCGCCTTGTATTTGGTCACCACTGCAGTAACCAGCTATCGAACTCACAACTCTTTTGGGTCAAGTTACTGGATTCAACCAGCGTTTTTATCCACCGGTCCAAAATGGCACTACAGTATGTTGGCGATCCCTATTTGAATTGAGATGATGTCTACGAATTGAATTAAAACTACTCCAATTCTTATGAACGTACGCTATTATAACAGCCGCCTACACAAGACATAGGTAGTCAAAGAACTGGAAACACTATCTTCATTGTGTAACAGAGAGAAGTTGACGCACATGAATGCACACACGAAACTATAACGTTTATTGATTGAAGATGGAAAACACGATCTTCCGTGAAAGTTACAAACTGTGTCAGCGCTATTAATAGGAAAGAATCTAGAACAATGATATATGAAACATGAGACGGCTGATGGATAAAGAATAAATTTCAAATCGGGTTGGCGAGGACTTGTTTATAAACAAATTCAAAAGGGCAGGAGGCGATGTTTAATTTGGGTCATTAAAAAAAAAATTTTTGATAAAAACATATTGAAGTAAAATTGGACCGGGGAGGTAAGATCAGTGTATGTTTACCGCTAGCAAAATCTGATCTAAACATAAGTTGTATCCGCTGAATTTGGTCATCGAAAAGACAATTTAAATGAACATTGAACTAATTAATTTTATCCACTAAGAAATTTGAAATAGATCTGAATTTAAACTTTGCTTATGGCGACACTCGTGTTAAGCGCGTGAACAACCTTCGGTTTGCTATATAAATGCGAGTTTTGCTGAATTGGGGAGACTTGGGAGTTAGACGCGAGTGACGTTGAGAGAGAGAGAGAGAGAGAGAGAGAGAGAGATAGAAAGAGACTGTCGTTGCAGTGAGTCGGTTCAGTGGCGAGTCAGAGATAAGGACTTCAAGAAATATCACCGTTGTTGTAGCAGTCGCATTGAAAAGTCGCTAAAACTTAACGTTTGTCACTTACGACAACCAACTGAAAAGCTACACTTCAACGTAGGGCTGGAATTACGAGTCACATATCCTCCCAAGTTGATTTGAAACGAGTTAATCACACACACACACCTCTCTCTCTTGGTATAATTGGTAGAGGAGTGGTCCTCTGTTCTTATGTTAATTGCTTTTCTATCCTTTCTGTAAACTCTTTCTACTCTTGTTTTCTTATATAAAATACATCAATATTTTACCCATTGTTGTTCGGCTTCTGCAGATATTATTTCCTTGTTTGCCACATTCTAATTTTCCTGCCGCCCACCCTCACAGCCGTGCCTACATCCCCAATCGACCGTGAACGTATGGACAACACCCCGCTTACTGGATCTAAAAACTAACACAACGTGGGCAGCAGGCAGAACTTGGCCAGTGACCGGTCGAACAATCTACGGGTACTCAGGGAGCGTGCGCCCAGCTACCCCTGAGTTCGGTTCAGACCGAGTGGGCGCCTCAACCCAAAGAGGAAGACGCCAGAGGTTGAGGGGCTGAAGGGACGAGTGGTAGAATTGGTCGCAAACTATCGGTCGGTAATATGCATATTTTTGGCACAATTTGTTATGTCGATATATAAGGTTGAAAGAAATTGGACACTAAAAGAGAAAAAATAATGTTTATAGGACTCATAAGACGAGTCCTGCCTATTTAATGGATATTCTAGAAAATAAAAAGAATATGGGTTATTTAAAACCGAAACATTTTTTGATTGTAAGAATAATTATTTTTTTGTGAGTGAATATAGCATTAACAATTTTTCGAGATAAAATTGATTTTCCATATACAAGTTCTAATATTTAACCAATTGTTGGGAAGGGATAGATTCCTACCTTTCCCAGGGTTATTCGTGCTTAAGTGAATGCAACGAACTCGACTGGAATTCGAACTCGGTTGTCTGATCTCTCATTCTGAGCCACTATCCATTACATTTCATGTACAACTAGACCAGTTACAAATTCAAAGAAAAACTGAAACTGTCCCGACCAAAGTCAATAGTAAATCTCTTATGGGGTTAGATGTCGCCTTTTGTTCAGTGTTTTTTAGTGCTTCTGTAAATCGGCATCAAACAGTTTTTATTATGAATCTATATTATTTGATAAATAAAAAAAGTTGCTGATTTCCAGGCGATTTACAGAACGATCTGTGGCCCTCAAAGAGCCTAACTGGCAGCCCTAGTCAAGAACACGACGTTGCTAAGGTATGCGCGGATACCTCGGAAGGTACACTATTTACATTATTAGGACAATTGTCTTCATCTTTGTCGCCATATTTATTACAATGTTTCGGCAGTTGTATGCTCTTCTTCAGGTTGTTGGAATGTCGAACTGAACCCTTTATTTCGCTCACTGTTCTAGTTCCACGTGCCATGTTTAATGGAGGTCAGTTATCAGTTATCTCCTGTTAATTCCCCTGTCCAAGTTCTCCAATGCCTGAACCGGGTATTGAACTCACACTCTTTGGGTCCTGTCAATGGATCTAACCAACGCCTTTATCCACTGTGCCATGTGTCCTCAATGACACGTGGAACTAAAACAGTCTACCCCAGTGAGCGAAATAAAGGGTTCAGTTCGACATTCCAACCACCTGAAGAAGGCCGGAGCGTACAACGACCAAAACGTTGTAATAAATATGGCGAGAAAGATGAGGACAATAGTCCGAATTATGTAAATAGTGTACATAATACCTCATCTCAGAAATATAGACAGATACCTCGGAAGATATAGGAAATTTGATGGAACTTGTGATTCTCTTGCTATAATCACAAGAACCCTGAAATGAACAGACAAATACATAGGATATAATAATAATAATCATTATTATGATGATGGTGACAAGAGTTAAACATAATTTGATACAATGCTAAAATCGAAGCTTACTAAGTAAAATAGGCTAAAATAATAAGTTATCCAAATTAGATTAAACCAAAATTATTGCTTTCATACCTGAGCTGGAGTTGGACACTTGTAAACAAAGTAAAATCTCGTTATATAAACTAGTGAATTCAATACTCACTGGGTGCTTCACACATTCAACCTTGTGCCAGATCTAAGCTACGCTTAGGAAATCACCATTGGGCACCTCGACGTGGTGTAATGGTTAGTAAGCTTGTTTCGCTAGGTCATTTACGACTGAGTAGTGAGTACGATTCTCACTGGGTGTTCCACACTTTCAGCCTTGTGCCCCATCTAAGTTACGCTTAGAAAATCATTTAGGCGCTTCGACGTGGCGTAATGGTTAGTAAACCTGTCTTACTCGCTCAATGACGAACTGAGTAGGGATTACAGTCCTCACTTGTGGCTCCAAACATACGGCCTTGGGCGACATTTAAGCTACGCTTAGTAAATCTCTACTGGGCACCTCGACGTGGTGTAATCGTTGGCAAGGGTGTCTCGCTAAATCAGTTATGGCTTAATAGTGTGTTAGATCCTCACTGTGGGCCCCATTTTTTCGGCCTCGTGCCCCATCTAAGCTAAGCTTAGAAAATCACTATACTTGAACTGTAGTTGCTCAATCCTTACTTTCCAGTTTAAAATCTTTTACGAGGTCTTGTGCGAGGAAGACTTATTTTCCACCCTACAGCCTCTTTCCTCACAGATGAAACGCCACAAGCCTATCGTTACGCCATCACTATTTCCATAGCAAATGTTCAAATGAGATCTTTTCTTTAATTCTACTAGTTCAGATCTCTACAGCTTGGATAAGCTATGCTACCTCCACGGAGTTGAAACACCCACATTTCCTTCGTATTCCACTTGTCAGCAAGAAGTTTCATTCCCCCGGGAACTGCTATCCTGGGTTTGATGCTCTCTCGAATCATACAATCTTAACCTCTTCAAGTCAAGGGTCAATAGTTATCTATACTCTTTGACTTTATAATCAAATCTTTATATCTACTCTTACATTCAAATCGCTCACCTCAATCAGTAATCCACTAACTTGAGTGGCTCTTGAGCCTAGAAATTTAGTGAAAAAAAAATTGTTTGCAAGACTGCGCTTATAAATTTATTAAATTTTATCCGGAACAAAACCTCAAGAGAATGGCAAGCAGTGAGGCTGCAACTGATTACAATAGTAATGATCTGCTAGACCATCTTTTTAACCATTGTTCTATGTCCAAAGCCAATAAATATGTATTTATGAATGTATTTATTAGTGTTCAACAACACAACAGGGCGTCACCCAATATATGAGGCAGGCTACACCAAGAAACAGCTAAATATCTTGCTGATCGATATTAGTTTTGAATAAATACATACGATTATAATGTTGTTGAAACTTTATTCTTTTCTACATTATACTCTATAAGAGTTGAACTTAAGGTAAATACAGAGCACCTGGAAACGAATTTATATACTTTAGAAATTTACTTCCTCACAAGTAAACGTTTGTTTCCTATTTGTTTCTATGCACTGTGTCCGAAACTGCTCTTTTTTTTCACGTTTCTTTTTCCCTCATAGTCGATGTGTTGTTTGTTACCGCCCTTCAGTGACTTGTAGATGTTAAGTGAATGTAATGGCGACTTGCATAGAGTTCACAAATGTCGGCTGTTTGATTTGTCGTCTGTGTGTGGTTCCTCCGTGTTTCTCTGCCTTCCATAATTATTGACACGTTGAAGAACGTGGGCAGAGTTAACATGGATCGTTTGACTATCTCTTTACGACGCTAGAAATATTCACATTGGCTTAGGTAAATAATTGGGCTTGATGACAATTATTCACTGCATCCGGGCAGTCTATTAAGGAGAAGCAGGAGGAAAGAGAATGATGTTGGTAGTAGGGTGGGGGGGATAGGAGAAAATAGAAAAAGAGAAAACCAAAGCGATATCGATTGGATACGGGAGAGAAGAGAAAGAAAAAAAGAAAATGGAAACGAGTGAATGACATAGAGCGTGAATGAAAGAAAGAGAAAGTGGGAGAAGGAATGACCAAGAACAGGAGGAGGAGAAGCTAGAGGAAGGGATTGGTAAGATGAAAGAAAGACGGAGAATTGATAGAAAAAGAGGCATAGGATGAGGTGAAAGAAAAAGGAAGGAGGAGAATATGCAGGAGAACAATGAAAGGAAGAATTAAGTACGAGGAGCAGGAAGAGGAGGGGGTACGTTAAACAAATTAGTGTCGTAAATAATGGTGATGCTAATGATAATATTTGCCTTTTCCTTATTAGGAAATATTCGACATTCATTAACAGAGAACTGTTGAAATTTATAAATTTTTTCTGTTAAATCAATTTTCAGGAAAATAGATTTCATAAGTTCAGTAGCTTTTATCGCCCTTTACAATATTGACGGGAAGGGGGTTATTTCCTAATCTTTTGTTTGAAGTCATGTGGAATGTCAAAATCTTGATTATGTCATTATCTTCTCTTCTAGTTACACGTGCTAACCAATTTAGTTGTTGTCGTTGCTAAAAGTCCTCAAGGGTTGTGCTTTCTGTTATTTGGTACAGTTCTTTGTTGATGATTCTGTAGCGCCAGTCCAAAAGATTTGAAGAAGGATGGTTCTCGTAGAGACCTACAGGTTACATTCGCTCAAAGTCAATTTAATGGACCGAGAAGGTGAGCAACGATGAGGTCTTAGAGAGGATGCAAACTGGGAGGATGCTTATGCTTAACACCAGGAAGAGGTAGCTGATGTTTCTGGGACACATAATGAGGAAGGAGAGCCTGGAGAATCTGATACTCATGGGTCGAATAGAGGGAAAAAGAGACAAGGGAAAACAACGCGTGACATACATGGCGGGCTTAAGCAAGTTGATGACAGAACGTAGTCTGGGGGAGGTGGCAGCAGAGGAAAGGAACTTGTTGAGAACTGCAATGGATAGGAGGAAGTGGAGAGCCATAATCGCCTACATATATAGTCGAAAGGACATGGCACATAAAAAGAAAAAGTAGTTGTATACACACTATTTGTATTATTCGGACAATTGTCCTCATCTTTGTTGCCATATTTATCACAACGTTTCGGCCGTTGTACGCTCCGGCTTTCTTCAGATGGCTGGAATGTCAAACTGAAATCTTTATTTCGCTCGCTGGGGTAGACTGTTCTAGTTCCACGTGCCATGTATGTTAGTTATCAGTTATCTCCTGTTAATTCACGTTTCCAATTTCTTCACGGCCTTAACCATGTATTGAACTCACAACTCTTTGAGTCCTGTCACTGGATCTAACTAACGCCTTTATCTACTGTGCTATGTGTTCTTAAGGCCGAAATGTTGTGATAAATATGGCAACAAAGAAGAGAACAATAGTCCGAATAATATAAATAGTATACATAATACCTTATCTCAAAAATATAGACAGATGGTTGTATACAGTAGAGAGTTTAGATATTTCTAAGCGGGTTTGGTACCATGCATGACATCCATATGAAAGCTTGATGAGGCTTTTTACAAAGGTGGCTCGAGTTTTGAGGTTAATGTTTTTGTTTTGTTGCAATTGGCGGTTTTGGGCGAAACTAGACGTTAATATTAGACTGAAGTGAATGTAGAAATAATGAAAAGCTAAGTGAAAGACAACTTTATTCAACTAAAAATACAAGGTTTACGTATAGTGTTCTTTTATAGCCCCATTAAACAGAAATATCTCTCTCAAAGAGAAACAAGGGGAGAACACTGATAAAAGAATAGAATTATCATTAACTATATGAGAACATCTTACAAAGAGCCGGATCTTGACCAGTTGCAGAGAGGCCCGTATCTAGACATACCAAACTGTCCCGCTGTAATGAGAAAAACCCGGATGTAACGGGTGTTGTCAACCATGGCCGCATCCTGTAAGTATTAAAAAAAAGAAGAAAGAATTGTGATATATGAAATTGACAGAGCACTTATAATTTTCACAAAATGCAAGTGTAGTTCAAATTAAAACACCATCCGGGCAACAGTATTACTAATTATTAATATTAGACTGAAGTGAGAGTAGAAATAATGAAAAGCTAAGTGAAAATATATGATACGTGAATAAGAATGAAGACTTATAAGAAGAGAAAGACAAAAATAGCAAAAAAAAGAAGTTCGAAGAGGAAAGAGTGAAGAAAAACGAAGAAAAAAGATGATAGACAAAAGGAAAGGTGCCGATGGAGGAAATGGCTGTGAATCAAAGAGAGTTTGACGAGGCCATTCGCGTGAATTTGATTTTAGTAGACAACTCTGCCCGTAGGAGAAGCCCACACACTTTGACAGAAGCGCTTATCTCGCGGATCAAAGGTGATTGAGACAGGCGAGATCTGGCAAACCTGGTTTCATAGGTCTGTCGGGTGCTCGGTCTGTCAAGGTCCGCCTAGTCATTCCTCCTCGACCTACATGACATGGGTGGCCCTACATGAGTTGGAACCCGCAGACGGTTTCGTTAAGGAATGACCATATATATTTTACACTGGATATTGGAGTGATCAGTTTGTTACCAAATGTACAACTTTGACTTACTATTACTTTAATAACAATAATAGAAACGAGTCAATAAATAAAAAAAAAGAATAAAACTGATAGTAATGACAAAAGTACACAGGTGTAGGCTTTAAGACAACTTTATTCAATTGAGAATACAAGGTTCGCATATAGTGTCCTTTTATAGTCCCAGTAAACAGAAAGGGGAGACCACTCTTGATTATTCATAACACTGATAAAAGAATAGAATTATCATTAAATATATGAGAACATTATTATTGTTGTTGTTAAAAATACATTTTTGAAAGGTAAATAATAATAATTATTATTAGGCTTTGTGATCGGAAAAGAAGAACAATGCGTGGAGAATAAGTGAAATAATAATAATAATAATAAAAGAAAATTATTGAGTCTACATTATTTGCAGTCGGACCAATATCCTCATCTTTCTCATTATTATCACAGCATTTCGGCCATTATGCTGTTTGGTTTTATTCAGGTGGCTGTAGCTTCAGGTAACCTTAAGGGAATTTCGAACAAATCTTTATTTAATCTGTAGGCCTAGATTGTTCTTCTTCCGTATATATAGGGGAGATAACTCGTCTTGATCTATCTATCACGCTCAGGGTAAAGAAATTAGCAACGGTTTTCGAGCGTTGTTTTATCAACTTTTATTGTTGCCATCTTCCTGTTTGAGACGGTGAAGAAATTGCTCCTTTCCATTTTTATAATAACCATTCGGTATTTTGTATATCTCACCCAGATCGGTGAACTGGCGTCTTGACTGGAGCTGTGGGTAGCTTTATTTCACCTGTAGTTTAACTGGAATCTGTCCTGGGTTGATTGCAATAAGACGATATTTTTTGAGCTTGGATTTCAGATTGTTGAGATTATTCAACATAGATAAGTACTAACGATTATCTTTAATTAATCCTTAGTAATTAATGTCGACTGTAACGAGCCTGAATAAGTACGTCTTTCTAGTCTGACAGCCAGTAACCAAAGACGATGTTTGACTTTCGCGTCTAACGATCCCTTGGGCAGTTCACGTGACTATCTATATATCTATTTTTAGCTTTTTAAAGGGTTAGTCAAAGGGAAATAACTTTTGTCTCTCTCAACAAGATAGCAGCTCTATATTCGAGTGTTGGCTGCATAAGTATTGTATCAAGGGTGTTTTACCATTTTGGGTAAGATTCATAAAGCATCGTTTAATCATACCTATTCTTTGATTAGCGTTCATTACGATTTTAGAATTGTATTTCAACTTACATTTTATAATGATGATATCAGTCCTTTCCAATAGGATTTGAACATACAATCTTGGTATAGATATTGTAATGACAAAAGTACATAGGTGTAGGCTTTAAGAAAGATTTACTCAACTGAGAATACAAGGTTCACGTATAGTGTCCTTTTACAGTCCCAGTAAACAGAAATAGCTCTCTCAAAGAGGAGACTAACAAAACAAGAGGAGACCACTCTTGATTATTCATAACAGATATATCAGAAGGACTACTAAACTGATTGGGAGCTCTTATTAAGAGAAAATAAATAAACAGAAAATATTGCTTTGCACACGGTAAAATATTCACTTATATTATACGCACGGAGAAACGAAAAGACATCATCAACATTGTTCTTCTGTTTATATATAGGGAGATGTTCTTGTTCTGTCTAGTTATTGCTAATCCCTTTTCTACTGAGTTGGAGTCTAATTATTCTTTAGTCGCCAAAGTAAGAAGATTAATGCGTTAGTTAATGAATTTGGTTGGCATCGAAATTGTGAGTCAGGTATTACGGATTTAGATTCAGTGAAAACAAGAAACAAGGTGATCAATAACTGAGCAGTATTAAATAGGAACAAGACGAGTCACCTCCCCTAGACGTGGACAGCGGAATGAGAACAATCTACACTGTACATTAAGTAAAGGTTTCAGTTCGTCCCAGAAATTAACACAGACAATTATTAAGGTTTAGTCATCGAAACACTAACCATGTGGTCAGCAGATTGACTGACATTGTTGTTTATTTTAGCAAACAAATTAGGAACACCAAAAAATCGGTATTTATGCTGGTGACATAGCTATTTACTCCTGTCTTAACAGTAAGTCTGACAAATTCAATAATGTAAAATAATAATGTAAAACTAGCAGTTGCTGTCGAAAATGGCCTCCAATCAGTTGTTAACGGGGGCAAGAAATGGTTTGTAAATGTTGACGCCTCCAAAACGACGCTGCTATCTTTTATTCATCATAGTGAACTATTTTCGCCTTCCATTAGCATGGCTGATGCTAACCTCCAAGGACGGAACACATTGCTTGGTCTCACATTTTCCACGCTCATAAAATGAAATGATTATATCGAATCAATTGTTAGGTCAGCCGCCAGGAAAGTTGGTTCCCTATGCCGTGCTAGGAAATTTTTCTCAACAGAATTCATCATGCGCATTTATCATTCGTCTGAGAATTGAATATTGCTGTCATATTTGGTTTGGTGCTTCTGATATATATATCTCCAGATTCTCGTCAAGAGAAAAAAAAGAGTTTGCAATATTACCGGTCCTGAACTGGCATCTCGACTTCAGTCACTTTCCCACCGCCGTGATATGATTTCTCTCTGTCTTTTCTACGTATATCTTCATAGCAATTGGTCTGATAAGCTATTCTCCTTAGTGCCCCAACTGCATGAATTTAAACGTGCTACTAGATTGGCAGTTAGGTCTCAAAGTTTTACTACTGAAGTCGCCGGATGTAACCGTCCGTTCCATTCTAATAGTTTCTTTGTTTGAACTTGTTTCTCTGCCACCTACGATCTTGAAAAATTTAAATTCAACGTCAATCACCATTTTCTGTTATTTTAAATCCTGTTCTTTTATTGTCCTTTCACCTTACTAAAGTTTTCTCATTCTCTTTCACTTCCTGTACTCCATTCCGTCTTAGTGGCAATATCGCCTTGCTTGAGGGGAAATGATTAAAAAAATACAGCGAAATACATGTGTAATTTTGAAATAAGGCGATATCTAAAAAAAAACAAAAAAAAAAAAACGCTGAATCCTGACTATTTATCCAAAACGAGTTTAAATGACTTGCTTGTTGATCAACATAAATATTTTTCTCTCTTCTGCTTAGAAAATGTTTCTGGTTGATTAAAAAGGAGGCATTCTCTTCCCGATTGGTTAAATGTTTGGAGAAGTTAATTAAGCTGGGACCTTTTAGAAAGAATTTGTGCTTGAACGATAAATAGGGTAATTTCTTTAGTTACACTTTACCCAACAGATCCGATTGTAAGATGAGAAAACAGAAAATTGTTAAATAAAGGATCATATATATATATATATATATATATATATATATATATACACTACTCTCCAGAAATTTAAGATCACTTACAAAATCATCTTTCACAGTCGACTGTACATGGTTTAGATACATTCGAGATGAAATAACATTTTTTTTATTGCAGAACCTCATTTACTCGGCACTGCGAGTGTGAGGACGCTGACTCTAAATTGTTTTAGAGCCCTCTATTTTGCAGCAACGGAGTCTAGAGTCACTATTGGCATTTCTTATGCGTTGTCAGATGAGGAAACACCATTAAGTATATGTTTCATAATTGTGTTTCAAATTCAATTATTAAAAATATTAATAATAATTTCGATTTTGCAGATTCAGTCTTAATGTGGGGAAGAAGTGTAATTTATCACCTGAGAAGAGGCAAAACATTGTCACATTACGTTGAGAAGGCTATAGTTTCCGAGATATAGCCAAAATAGTTTCTGCAGTTCGCTCCGCTATTGTGATAAATGTGGAAACAAGTCAAAATGATAACATGCAGCGGACAGGTCACCCAAAATCCACTTCCAAATCACAAGATAGGTTCATCAGAATTACCAGTATTCGAAACAGGAAGGTGACAGTCCCCCAAATTGCTGCACAAGTGAAGCCGGCAGAGCTAATGTGACTGCATCAACAGTTAGGAGCGGGTCTAAATGACTGTTGTGCTGCCAGAAAATCACTGCTTAGACTGTCGAATAAAAATAACTCATATGGGCGAAAAAAACATCAAAACTGGACTTTTGATCAATGGAAACAAGTCCACTGGACTGACGAATCCAAGTTTGAAATCTTCGGGTCTCGGAGGCGAGATGTGAGGTGAAGAACTAGTGAGCGAATGATTACAGCTTGTGTTGACTGTCATGGAATGGCTACCCCAATCGCCTGATTGCAACCCTATCGAAGGAGTTTGTGAGGAATCGGACCGCAGAATCAAAAAGCGACAACCAAGTAGTGAAGAAAGCTTGTGGACATTATTAAAAGAGGAATGGTAAAACATTACAAGTGAATCTTTGCTTTCATTGGTGGTAAGAATGCCAAAAAGGATGCTCAGCAGTTATCAAGGCAAACGGCGGATATTTTGATAAATTTCATATTTAGCATTTTTCATATTCTTGTTTTGTTACAGAGAAAAATATGTTACGTTATTATACATATCATAAAAATTTACCTGTCTATTTTTCTGAGGTATTATGTAAACTATTCACATTATTCGGACTATTGTCATCATCTTTGTCGCCATATTTATTACAACGTTTCGGCCGTTGTACGCTCCGGCCTTTTTCATGTGGTTGGAATGTCGAAATGAATACAGTATGGGAACCAGTAATTAGGAGTGTCAGAGAAAAGCGTCTCTGTCACACCTAACAACAAAAATTACAATATGAGCTCAGGTAAAAACAATGATAACAGCAAAAATTGCAATATGAGCACTGGTAAAAAAAATGGTTGCTGAAGACATTAAGTTTATAATACCCAAAAATTCATACACAGATGTCCGCAAGGACGCATGGCACTGTGGATAAAGGCGTTAGTTAGTGACAAGACCCAAAGAGTGTGAGTTCAAATCACGACTAGTGGGAAATTACAGAAAGTTCAGTGGGAAAATTAACAGGAGATAACTGATAACTAACATCCATTAAAACAGTGAGCAAAGGGTTCAGTTCGACATTCAGTTCGAAGGCCGAAACGTGGTAATAAATAAACAGATAAGGACAATAGTCCGAATAATGTAAATAGTGTACATTATACCTCATCTCAGAAATATAGACAGATACTGAAGGGCCGAAACATTGTAATAATTATGGCGACAAAGATGAGGCCAATAGTCTGAATAATGTAAATAGTGTACATAATACCTCATCTCACAAATATAGACAGATACTGAAGGGCTGAAAGGTTGTAATAAATATGGCGACCAAGATGAGGACAATAGTCCGAATAATGTAAATAATGCCCCCTCCCCAATTTAAAGAATGGAAGAGTCTGAAATCAAAATGTCAGAAAACTGATATAATGTTAATATTTTGCTTATTAATGTCAACACAAGATCGAATTTTAAGTAAGATTTTATTTTATTAAGATCCGGACTTCATTAATTATCGCCGGCCAGTTTAGGTGTGGGTCCCGGAGCCTTTACTAAATTTGAACTCGTGTTAATGTATGTTACTTTCTACCTCCAGGGATAGGTAGTTTTATATCTGTCTGACGTCGGTTTGTTTTTTTCCACACACGTGTGAATCCTATACGCAGCTGAGTCAACCACATTTTCATATATATATATAGTTCAATCCTTCATCTGGCTTCTTTGAAGGATACTGAATGCAAAGTCTGTTTAGCATCATCTTATTATACCGTAAAGGAAGCTGAAGACCGGATCTCCAGTGAAAGCCACCAGTTGCCCTTGTTGCGAAAAGTCAATCGATGATAAGATTCAAACTCCTATGCCCCGACAATAGTCGGGATTATGAAGAAACCGAGAAGGGAAAGTTTAGGCAAGTTGTTACTCGGTCTCCAGCGAGAATCACCAGTTATAGGGTCTTAACATGAAATAATAATAATAATAATAATGATAATGGTGAAAGTGGTAATAAGATGGTTCTGGAAAAATAGAGGAAAAAGGTGAAAAAAAACTGGAATAAAAAGAAGAGGAAAAAAGATTAAATATGATGACTAGAAAAGAGAGATTAAACAGAGAGGATTGTGAAGAAAAAGAAGAAGAGGGGGAGAAGAAGAAGAAGAAAAAGAAGAGGGGAAGAAGAAGAAGAAAAGGGAGAAAAAGAAGAAAAGGGAGAAGAAGAAGAAGAAGAAGAAGAAGAAGAGGAGGAGAAGGAGAAAAAGAAAGGGAGAAGGAGAAGAAGAAGGGGAAGAAGGAGGGGAGAAGGAGGAGGAGGAGGAGAAGAAGAAGAAAAGGAAGAAGGAGATGAAGAAGAAGTTCGGGAAGAAGAAGAAGAACGAGGGGAAGAAGAAGAGCGGGGGGAAGAAGAAGACGAAGAAGAAGAAGAAGAAGAGGGAGAAAAAGAAGAAGAAAGGGGAGGAGAAGGAGGAGAAGAAGAAGAAGAGAAAAGAAGAAGAAACGGAGAACTAGGAAAAGAAGAAGAAGAAGAAGAAGAAGAAGTCAAGATGAAGAAATAAGATAGCACAAATAAAAAAATGCAAGAGTAATAAATGTTGAATGGGAGAAAATATCCAACTTAGTATTGCCACTGATAAGCGTCGGGAGACTAATTACCTTGGTGGGAAGCTTATTTTTTCTTTTTATCTTTGTTGTTGGTTACTTTGGGTGAATGTGCCTCATTAGGCCGACGTTCCAGTTATCTTCTACAGGAATTGAGATAAACATGTAAGTCAAAGTACACGGAATAGCGTAGGTGACGAGAAATATGGGAGGAAATAATGAAGATAAGAAGCAAACGACAGAAAGGAGGAGAGAGTGAGAGATAAGAGAAAGAGGAAAGAAAAACGAGAGAGAGAGAGAAACATTGAAAGATGAGAAAGAGCGAGAAAGAGGGAAAGAAAAAGCGAGAGAGAAAGGAGGAGAAAGTGAGAGAGAAGATAAAGACACAAAGAGAGAAAGATAAAGGAGAGGCAAAGATAGATAGATAGATAAAGAGATAGAGAAAGAGAGAGAGAAAAGCAAGAGAAAGAAAATATATAGAGAGAGATGGAGAAGAAAGAGAAAGTGAGGAAGAAAGAAGAGTTACAGGGAAATAGAGAAAGAAGATAAAGTGACAAAGAGAGAAAGATAAATAAAGAGAGAGAGAGTGGAAAGAAAAGATAGATTGAGAGAGAAAGAAAAAAGCAAGAGAAAGAGTGAAAATTGAAAGAGAGGGAAAGAGAGAAAGTGAGAAAGAAAAATAGAGCGGGGGGAACAATAAGAAAGTGAGAAAGAAGGAAGAGTTACAGGGAAAGAGAGAAAGAAGAGAAAAAATAAATAGAGAGAGAACAACATCAAATCCGTCCAGGAACTTGTTTACCTCGACAGCAGCATCCAATCAACGCAGAGGGACATCAAAATCTGCAAAGGCAATGCCTGGGGTGTCCTTGATGGTCTGAGCACCACCTGGAAGTCCTTCCTCTCTGACAATCTACGGTTCAACAAAATGGACACTGACAAAACACCAAAGAGCATTACTTGACGGAACATACACAATGATATTACGAGTTGCATTGGACATTAGCTGGAAGAAACAGCCAACAAAGTAACGCCTGTATGGACACTTTCCTCCTATCTCAGTTTCACTAAGAGAGAGTAGGCTTCGGCTAGCTGGGGAAGTAAGTCAGAATTTGTGATTGACACCCTCCTATGGAACCCATTGCATGACAAAAGATCGGTTGTAAGACCTCATCACACCTACATTGACCAACATTGATGACTTTGGATGCCGTCTGGAGGAGCTGTCAGCAGCGATGTCTTAAAGAGACGATTGGAAAGAACGTATCAGGAGAATCCAAGAAGAATTTTCGACATGATGATCATGATTATGAAATGGTTGGTGTTAGGACCTAAGTAAAAACCAGGAATTCGAATTGCAATTTTAAAGATATATAGACAATTTTTTCTCTTACCTTTTATCACCATTTTGTAAAGCTCGGTAAATAACATGTATATGAAGCCGACACAAAAAGATGAAGTCGCCATTATATAGTAAAAAAGGACTTCATAAAAATCAATCAGTATAGTGATAACTTAAATAAGTATAGTACTAACTTAAATAAGTATAGTGACAACTTAAATAAGTATAGTGACAACTTAAATAAGTATAGTGATATTTTTTTCTCAAATGATTGTAAAAAATACATTTTTTTACAATCGGTGTGTGCATTGTCCGTTGCCAGGTATTAGATTTAATAAAACAGTTTTGTCAGCGCTTATTAAGTTTAATCTGGTCTGCTACAAGTGTGAGATAACAAGTAAAGATCGAACTCACTACACAGAAATAATGATCTTCTTCAACGAAATCGAAAACCCCAAGACGAGACGACCAAATATAGAGCCATAGTTTTAAGGCAAGAAGATAACGTCTATGTTAATTATATCAAGAAACAGTTTTAACCTCACTTCTGTGATGGAAATTTCCAAATTCCTTCCATTATTTTAAAAGATGGCGTTATTGACAGCTACGGTTTTTATGATAGCAATGCTTACAGTTGAATGTCGGTCATTAAATATAAAGAAGCCACGGCCTGGACCGTTCGTCATAGCGGGGACTTCAACTTATGTACACACTTAGCTAACTTTATATAAATGACACTTGCCAATTGCACTTTACATACAAGTATTTTGATTCTCTCTATTTTTTATGTTCTTGCTTCTTTCTTTATGAAAATGCTTTCATAAGAGATTCTTTAATGTTTACATCGAAGCAAATGGGATATTTTTTTCCTTTCAATAAACAACAATAATTTAGGACTTCATATTAAATGTCTTTCTTTTTCCTTCTTTCAAATTCCATATTTTTTTTATTTCCCGTTCGTTTTCGCCTATTTTCGTCTTTTAAATTTTTTTAATGTTAGCGTTTTGTTTTGTTTTCTTTCATTTGCGCCTTTATTTTCTCTCTGCAGTCATAGAACATTCTAACGACTCGGTCACGCGCCAATTTAAGCGCTGTAATAGATTGCAACTTGGTTTCATTATTTTACAATTGAAATAGCAAGATGTAACCGTATGTTCTATTCTAATAGTTTCTTCTTTCGCACTTCCCGTCTGTGAAACTCTCTTCCGGACTCTTTCTTGATCTTCTATGATCTTTATAAATTTAAATGTAACATCAATCGCTATCTTTTGCCATTCTAAAACCTGTTCCTTTATTGTTCTTTCTCCCCACTAAAGTTTTTTCTTTTAATTTCTTTTCAATTTCAGCAAGCCATTCCATCTTAGAAGCGTTTATCTCTCTGCTTGGAGTGAAACGATTGAAACAAAAGACCTAAATTATTGCAATACTTTTAACAAAGTTTATAAAAGACGTCTGTTATTAATTTTCCCACTTAATAACAGAAATACACGTGTCTTCATTGACGAACTTAAACTTCAGTATCCACGTTCGATAAATTGCTAATTGATATCCTTTCACCATCGATGTTTAACTGAATCATGGTTTTATAACCCTTTCTGGTAAGAGACATTCACCTGTGTTTCATTACTAGCAGGGATAAAGTTTTGTTCTTACTAAGTTTGAATTCCACTCTTTCGTTGCTTTCTAATATTGTCTTAACAACATGGCGACAAGACTTCACCTTTAAATAACTTGTACAAGATTGATTAGCGCGATCCTTTTTATTTTTGATGCCTACATTTATCGACAAATATCAGTCCAACATTGGAATATAACATACTTTTTTAGTGTTTGTTTATATTTCTGAGATGAGGTATTATGTACACTATTTGCATTATTCGGACTATTGTACTCATGTTTGTCGCCATGCTTATCACAACGTTTCGGCCATTGTATACTCCGGCCTTTTTCAGGTGGTTGGAATGTCGAAGTAAACCCTTTATTTCGCTCAGTGGGTTGACTGTTCTAGTTCCACGTGCCATGTTTAATGGATGTCAGTTGTCAGTTATCTATTAATTCCCCTCTCCAAGTTCTCCACTGCCTTAACCGGATATTGAACTCACTGGATCTAACTAACGGCTTTATCCACTGTGCCACGTGTTCTCAAGTGAAAGGACCGAAAGAGTGTGAGTTCAATACCCGCCTAAGACAGTGGAGAACTTGGAGAGGGGAATTAACAGGAGATAACTGCTGGAAACTGCAGGAGTGCTGGAAGCTGCAGGAGTGAGCTGGCGTCTCAGATGAAAGGCAGTAGCAAAGAGTGAAGTGAGTGGAGCCTTGAAGAGTGGTGATCGAATGACTTTCGGAAGTTAGCCCTGAAAAGGACTGTTTGAACAACTGCTGCTACTGCTGCTGGGTCCCGTCAGTTGCTGGGCTTGGTCGACTTGATTGGGCGCGTCAAAGTCGCGAATCAGGAAGGCTTCCTGCTCCCTGGCCGGCGGTATTTACTTGACTCCCACGAGGTCAAGATGTGACACAAGGTCGTTTTTCGTGGGATTACTTGACTCCCACGGGGTCAAGACGTGACACAAGGTCGTTTTTCGTGGGAAAACCCAAGCGTTTCCGCATAGGGTCACTGGTCAAAGATTGGTCATAACATGTCCAAGCTGGTCAAGGCTTAGTCAATGTTTTGGTCATAACATGTCCAAGCTGGTCAAAGCTTAGTCAAGTTCTGGTCCAAGTTAGTCTTAGCAGGTCCTGATATGGTCCAAACTAGACTTTGCCACGGTCGCAACCCAGCCCGAAGGCCGGGCTGCTCCCTGTGCCGGCTAAAAACCGCTGCGAAGTCTCGGGCATCTAGATATGACGGTTCATACAAGAGAAGCGATGACGCTAAACAAATAAATGAATATAATTAATTTCGGGCCGTATTAATTACAGTCAAAAGTGTGTTCGGTGTTTGGTGACTGTATTTAAATTAATTTCGGTTCGAAATTAAAGGTCTTTTATTTTTGTTTAGTGGCGAAAATTGAGTTTTGTGTGTTTCTGTCAGTTTGAAAGGATGTCGTTGCTATTTTTAGCACACAAGGGTCGTGACCTTTCTCTACCGGCAGGCATATCCGGGGTTGTTTAAGAAAAGGTGGGAGTGGTGTTTGGGCACACTGCGACAGGTAGCTTCCGATTGGTTAATCACAGCAAAGCCACAAACCCATTTTAAAAAAGTATTCTGCTTCAGTAGTTTAACATCGCTCGAGGAGACACATTTATAGTGTCGAAACATAATTGCCATTATGTAGCGATTTTTACATGTTTTAATATCCTAAAATAAATTATATATATATATATATATATATATATATATATATATATATATATATATATATGTAAAAGACAATAGGAAAACGTTTCGTTCAATGTGAACTTTTCAAGGCAAATAACAAAATGAATTTATTAAAACAAAGTAACTATTAATACCAAAACAAAATGTCCTTAGCAACTGGAAGAATTTAGAAAACGTTATCATATTGTTTTGTTACTAATAGTTACTTTGTTTTAATAAATTCATTTCGTCTTTGCCTTGAAAAAGTCCACACTTGACGAAACACATCGGCTAATATTACAGTTTTCCAATTGTCTTTTACATTTATAAATATTGTCTTTTTCTACAGGTTGACCCTGAGAAATCCACACACACACACACACACACACACACACACACACACACACACACACACACACACACACACACACACACACAGGGAAATGTATGAAAGCTCTAGAGAGGGGGTGTAATGGAAGAAAGAAGAACAGGAAGGCCTAAAGGTGAAGGTGGGGATTAAAATTTAACAGAGAGAAGTTTTAAAAAGAGGAGTTAACGGTTTAAATTTATATATATATATATATATATATATATATATATATATATATATATATTGACCACTAATTTTATCTATCTATCTATCTATCTATCTATCTATCTATCTATCTATATATATATATATATATATATATATGCGTGTTTTATACTAAATTTCATCCAATACAAGGCCCGATAACCACTCAAGAAAGAGGGTGATTCAATTCCTTGGGTATAGCGTCCTCCTTGGTGTAAAGGTCTGAACTGGTGGAACTAAAAAACTGAGATCACCAGAACATTTTCCTTAGAAATAGCGATACATTAGCGACAGGCTTGCGACGTTGAGTCTGTCGCAGAGAGGTTGCAGAATGTGTATCTATGCGTATGCGTGCCTGTGTGTGTCTGCGCTTAAATAATTGTTTTTATATACTGGCACTCATTTGCTTAGGTGTTGGAACAAAATGCGTGTACATATGATCTGTAGCGAGAAATCATCGCGAGATTTAATGTGTGAACCATTACTTTCTATAAGCATTTTCCTTGCGATATTGAAATAGCGCGTTGGCCAAACATCGCTTTCCCGCGCTGTTGGCCAAACATCGTTTTCCCGCGCTGTTGGCTACAGCAATAGAAAATCTCACGGTAAACTCTCGGCTATTTACTCTACACGGATCTTACTTTCCATTGCAATCTCACTTCACTTTCTTTTCTCGATTCGGCGCTTTCCATCTATCGACATCACTTAGATAAATATACACAGATATGTAATGGACGTAGGTTGGGCTGAGTCATTTATATTGTGCGCAGCATTTTCTCGTTGCCAGAGGCAGAAATGTTTTGTCTCACATAGAGCAGAGATAAATACAGAATAAAATGCGATTTGATCGCATACAGGTTGCGTTAAGACAATTGCGAAAGAGCTACTTGATTTTGTCTAAAGACAGGAGACAGCGGCTTCTCTTAATTCTTTTGAGGCTTTGACAGGTCCAACTAACATCTGTGATCCTTTTATTTTGCATATTTGTTTTGATATTTTACTTTGTTTTGGGGGTTAATTCCTTGCCCCCGCCCCTCTTTACGTATCATCCACAAATTTTTATATATAGAATTTTATAATCGTTAATTTTATGTTATGGGATGTTTTTTATAAGTCCCCTAAGAGTATGCGCTATTATAGTATATGGACGATTCAAATTTACACATCAACCATTCGCCCTTGCATGGAGTATTGCTGCCATATATGGTCTGGTTCCCCTTATGTTTGTCTCAAGGTTCTTGATAAGATCCAGAGACGGATATGCAATGCAACTGGCCCTGATCTGGCATCTCGTCTGCAGTCGCTCTCACACAGACGTGCCGTCATCTCCCTTTGTCTTTTTTACAAATACTTTCACGGTAACTGCTCTGATGAGCTTCTTTCGCTGGTTTTTATATACTGGCACTCATTTGCTTAGGTGTTGGAACAAAATGCGTGTACATATGATCTGTAGCGAGAAATCATCGCGAGATTTAATGAATTCATGAATTTAAGCGTTCTACTAGGCTGACATCTCACTCACACCCTTTCACTATCGAAACTGTTAAATGTAGCCGTCTCTTCTACTTTAATAGCTTAATGTTTCGCACTTCTCGCCTGTGGAACTCCCTCCCTTTTTCCTGTTTCCTTGTGAGCTATAATCTTCAACTATTCAAATGTAATGTCAATCGACGTCTCCAGATGCCCTGATCTATCCCCTATCCTTCTCTTCATCCTTTCCTCTATCACTCCTCTTTGCTCTTGCTCCAACTCTCTATAACCCCTTGCGTGCTAGTGGCTTCCCGCCATGCTTGGGGTGAAACGCTTAAAAAAAAAAGAATGATGATGGATAAGTTCTTTGGTGGATGTGCAAATTGTAATGAGTGAATGGGTCGTGAATCTGATTAGATAGGTATAATAAGTGAGAGACCAGCCTCAGCCAATCGCTCCCATTTTCGGCCTTGCGTCACAATTGTATTTTATATACAATAAATCTTGACAGTTGTATTTGCCTAGAAAGATTTTAAGAATGATGTGCTATTATCAGATCTCAGTTCGATCACTGCTGCTAGCTGTTCGCTGCAGATAAACATCGAATCGATTATTTTATAATATATACTGTTTAGATAACGATGTTTACCTGTCAGTTTCCTCAAGTTAAATAAATATGTATGTTAATTTTCTATTGGGTCGTTTCTTTCTCTGATATTTCGCAACAGGATTTAGGTTAACGTGCCTGAATATACAGCCCGACGCATTTACTGATATGATCTGAGACAGATAAGAACGAGTAACGTAGATAATATATATAGATGGTTATGAACAGAATGATAAACAGATAGATAGATAGATAGATAGATAGATAGATAGATAGATATGAACTGAGACATGAAGAGTGTTAAAAGGTTATCGACCTAAACTTATCTGAACAAATGTCCTGACATAAGTTATCTGCTTTGTGTGCGCACGCATGCGTGCGTGAGGAGGGGAGGGCCTCGAACAAATAACCTTTTAATACCGAACTTATTCAGATAGATAGATAGATAGATAGATAGAAGAGGGAAAAAAAGATATTGACCCAAACATCTCAAAAAGGTAACAAATTTCAAAAAATCTCTTGTTCGCTTTGTGTGTGTATGTATGAGGGGGGATTATTGGTTTTGCCAATATTTTTCAGCACCGTCTCATAGACAGATATGAACCTATTCAAAAAGCACCTCTTCGTCTATAAAAATTATTAATTTGCCCTCTCTCTTGCAGATTGAGTGACTATGAAGTATTATTTGGAGGTTTAAAGCCAGTTACTATTCAGAGTAACGAACAGTAAATGCCAGGCGCCCCAATTCAGTTGCCCGTAAACCGAAACATTCATGTTGTCTTATTGTTTTTAATAAGTGGAGGTTGTTTTCATGCATTCGGCTGTAATAGCAGGACGTGAGTTTTTTTTCGACGCAGTCAATTTGGAGGCATAATTGTATGATTAAAAATACAGCGAACAATGTTTGGAGAGCGAATTGCATTTGGCATAACAATGTTTTGGCTCATCCCTCTAGTAAATAATGTTCCGAATAATCGGAAGTAGTTTTCAAATAATAGATAGATAGATAGATAGATAGATAGATAGATAGATAGATATTTGATTCCTTAGATACGAAGGTAAATAGATGCGAGCATGTTGATATCAGCTATTAACGTAGACAAAATACAAGCAAAATGAGAAATAGAGAAAAGTGAGATATTAAATTTGTCAGATAGATAGATAGATAGATAGATAGTGTCATACACTGGAATACACCAGCTTGCTGGGGTGGTTCGTTATACTTTTTAGCAGACGTATTTTCAGACACATTTGTGCTTCTTCAACACCCACAGAGCCAACGTGTGATTTATAAATATAAAAGTGCACATCGAAGTCAACACCCAACGGTGACAATCTGTTTCATGCTTAATCGAAATCTTCAGGCCACTTATACAGAGTACGATGGATAAATTGTCGTCTAAATTACGCAAAAATGAAACTAACATTAGCAATTCATTTTAACAGATATATTTACCAAAATTGCAGAAAAATATCTTGAAATATTAAAGCTATTAAAATATCAATATCCACGGTTTCCAGACGACTTCGGAATCTCCTGTAACTCTTCTGGGCGGTCTCTTTGTTTAAGTTGGTGAATGCTGCCATAATCCTTGCCTTCAGTTCATCTTTGGAGTTACAAGGAGTTCATTCTCAGAATGCTAACAGACCAAGCATGTCAAATGTAGAAAGACGTAAGTTTATGTTTTATAGACTATGTAAAAACATTTGACACAAATATCTATTTGAACTGCTTGGAAAACTTTATTTTAGAAAGATGTTAAAATAATCTAGGACATTTACTGGCAGAAAAGGAATTGGATAAGTACAAAAATAGAAAGGGACATAAGACAAAGTTGCGTCTTCTCATTTGGTTTATTTAACCTTTACAGCGAGGCGATCATATGAAAACTAGAAGTCCTACCAGGATTTGTTATTGACTGGCTTAATCTTAACATAAGACGACACAGTGCTGAAGACAAACAGAGAAAGAAAACTGTAGGGACTATTAGACAAAGTAGTCAAGGAAAGCGAGAAGAAAGGACTAATCATCAGTTATATGCGCGTTAGCAAGTGGAGCAGTACAAGATGCGAGCCACGAATTCAAGGAAATAGAGTAATTTAACTATCTGAGGAACGTTGTAAAAGACGACGTAAAATGTGATACCGAAATCCGAAGGAGTTTTGTACGAGCGTAAGAAACCTTTAAGAAGCTAAACAAAGTTTTAAGAAGCAAACAATTTCGTTAGAAACAAATAATGTCGAAATGTATCTAATGCCACAGTAATAATATATAAACCCACGGTCATTTCAAACATTGTACAGTTAAAAACATAAAGGCGACACAGGCCATTTCACGACTTTCTAGGTTTTCCTTGAAAACGATCAGTGATGATCAAAACTAGTCAGAGCATAAAAATAATTTTCTCAAGTTTCCACTTGATATAAAACAAATTATTTGACATGAGAAAAATTCTTCGTTATGACTGGCTGACTGGACTCTCCCGTCGTTTTCGACGTATGAGTGACAAGCAACTTAGTCAAGCAACTACGAGGAACCGACAGCATATATGATTTAATTAGAGTGGTGAAGGCTTTCAAAAGTGTGATTGGTTTTGCAGAACCAACCACACTTTTTGAAGAGCAGAATACAGAGACCTGGTGCAACACGTGCTACAAGGTCCCCAAACGACCCTCCGCAGATTTTGAATTCAGAGTTGTCCTTCTCCTAGATCGGTTGCCACCCACGGTTATAGAACCAAATCTGTTCTGCTATTTAGCCATAGCTGGGGGGGAGAAGAAGAGGATTCATACCTTTCCCAAGGATATTAGCACGTATTTGAATGTAATGGATTCAACTGGAATTCGAAGTCTGCTCTCTGTCTCCTCAATCTGAGGCGCTATCCATTACTCCACAATGACTCCTCATTTCTCCTTTATATATATATATATATATATATATATATATATATATATTAGGAAAATTGTAATAGTAGCCGACGCGTTTCGTTCAATGTGGACTTTTTCAAGGCAAAAACGAAATGAATTTATTAAACAATGTAACTAATAATAACAAAACAATTGCAACCACATTTTAAAAATGCTACACTCATAAAAAATCAAAATGACTCACTCAGAAGAAAAATCCTCGAGAGTGCCGCCATTGAATGTTATCCAAATATTAACAACTGTATTTTATTTTTAAATGTACTTTTTTATCACAGAAAATTTGGTGAGGCACTGGAAAAGTTTTATTCCAAAAATACGGCCCAAAGATTAGGAACCACCGCATCACGTAGATTCTAGGCTTTGTTTAAAAATGTCCAGTGGATGGTTCGATGATTTATTTGTATACACTGGGGCATTACTTTCCTTTCTGTATTGGCGGTATACTTCTTTAGTGAGATCAAAGGTAACATCATAGAAGGCTCACTTCTTTGAAAGAACTGGAAATCTGCATTAAATTGAAAATTGAAAATACATTTATAGCATTACTACCAACTATAAACACTCGCTTAAAACATTGCATCACATCATCTTTCTACAGATCCATTATTCATGAATCTAACTTATCTAATATATACAATAATGAAAATTCACAAATCCTATTCAAAATATATGGATGAGAAATGATGTTATGGTAAATCCAGCCATTATTATTACAATGTCTTGCAGCGTCTCACCGACCCACACGAAAGTGATGACGACAACAAACACCCCTTCCACACATATAAACATACACGAGAATATAAAAATCCAACTAAATACAAAATTATTGCAACATCTCCGACATAAACGAGGGTATCATCTATAGACATTCCTCACTCACAGACTTATACACTTACAGGAGTTAACGTTACCGTCCAACATACACCTAGACACACAAGTTTTTCTTTACATACACACTCTTACACTATCATACATTTTAACGTTCAAATTGTTCCTCACACATTTTATATATTTATCTATTGTGTTTATACACGTGACTCGTATTTGACCAATAAGAACTGACCAAAAATCTTGACATACCAGTACATAACTTTTTTCATTTATATCTCAATCTCTGACGAAGCTTTAAGAAAAGTGAAACATGTTAGGTTGAGATATGTTTCCTACTTGTTCTTTATTTTATTTTATATCGGATTCCTATTCAGATTTGATCTAAATTTGATCTTCAATTCAAACATTTTTATAAAAAAAATATAAATTTGTTTCAAGTTCGGTGTCAAAACACGGCTCTTTAAAAACATTCTAAATCCTATTTTTGATTTTATCTGTATTTTAGCCACTTGAGCACCATTACGTTATCACCTCGATATAATCCTATAGATCTCTTCCATAGTTTTTTTTCCTCTCATTTAGATAGTAGATAGATTTCAAGCATTTCAAGAATGTGCTCCCTCAAAACTTCCCTTGGACACATTGACGCTAACTTGATCACTTTTTGTATCCCACACGGCTGCATTGTAAAATAACCCCTACTTTCGGCAGTTCTTGATGATTTTTATCTGCAGATAATTTCAGTCTACAGCTTGTCTTTTTTAAATCATTCTTCACTGATGTAAGGGTAGAAATATTTTTATATCAAACTGCGCACACACACGCAGAGTTATATTATTTAATTCATATTTATGAGGGAAGAATGTTCAACATCGGAGATAGAGCGTATGTAGATATAAAAATGGTGGACATAGAAACGCTGGAGTAACGTATAGCGGTTCGGATTGAGGAATCGGAGATTCGAATTCCAGTTTGATCCATTACATTCATTTACATGCTAATACCCTTAAGGAAGGCATGAATCCTCTTCTTTCTCCTTCGTTTGAACAGGAAGATTACAATTTTCATTCCAAGGGACGTCACTATGGATAAGTAGAAGGACAGACTAGGTTCTATAAGTCTTGGGTGGCTAGCTCTGAATTCAAAATCTCTATGTAGCCCTGACGTAGCAAAGAAAGGATCGTTCTCATTGGCTCGATTATCAACGGTCGAGCTGAATGGATGAATGGGCGTTTCCCCAGTTACCCTGGTGGACACGCTTCTCTTTAGATCTCTTTTTTTTTTTTACCTCTATCGCTGATTCATGTCGTACCATGCAGCTCTGCCCTCTTGGCAACTCTGATCATACTGTAATGTCTGTAAAGATCTCTTTCTGCTCCCCTACCAAAAAAGAATCTCCTACCAACAGAATATTTATTTTTGTTATCGACGTGCGGATTAAGACTCGAGAGCTTCTACTGGGTGATATGTGCATAACCCCATCACTGGTCACAGACATCATCTCTAAATTAGACTCCTATAAGGCAAGTGGAG